CCTTGGGATAATATTGCGCCGATTGCATAATTACTTGCATCCGTAGTTATCAAGAATGGTTTGGAAAAATCTGGATATTGGAGTATCGGATCGTTTGTCAATAAAGTCTTGCATAATTCTAAACATTTAATATAATCTGCGTCATTGGGATTAATAATTGCATCTTTTTTCAATCTGATTGTCAATAGCTTAGGCCCGTATCGTCAGTCGTTCCTACAAGTGTAGGGCGCATTCATGGCCTCCTTGATTGTCATACTCCTTTCTCTCGTTCAAAAATTTATAGATTACACTTGTCTCGTGTCAGCGTCAGCGCTCTCCTATTGTGAAGATATGTTTTGTGTTTGAATTGTAGGAAATTTCAGGCTGATAAAACATGATATAACTCAAAAGCAAGCCCAATTTGATGCAAATAGATGTTGGTGACATAACCTCAAAATAGAGTTCTGACACGGAGAAGTAGAAAATTATGACAATCAAGGAGGCCATAAAGGCGCCCTACAATTGTGGGGACGACTGACGATACGGGCCTTAGTGATTTTCGCAAAATCTTTTATAAACTTACGGTAATAACCTAAAAGTCCAAGAAAACCTTTAATTTACTTCCTAGTTTTTGGTATTTTAAATTCTGTGATTGCCTTTATCTTATCGGGGTTTGGTTCACACCATCCGCCGTTACAATATGTCCTAAATACGATACTTCTTTTCTAAGAAATTCCGATTTGTCTAACTGTATTTTAAAATTTGACTGATGTACCCTTTCAAAAACTTCTCTAAGTCGAGAAATGTGTTCCTGTAAACTAGTACTGAATATTATAATGTCATCTAAATATACTAAGCATTTTTCATTTTGAATACCTCTCAGTATGTTATCCATTACGCGCTGGAAAGTCGCTGGCGCGTTTTTTAGTCGAAATGGCATTCTTGTAAACTCGTAGTGTCCATTTTCTGTATTGAATGCAGTTTTTTGAATATCCTCTTCTGCCATTTCTATTTGGTGAAAACTTGAAGCTAAGTCTAATGTTGAAAAATATTGGCATCGCCCTAATTTATCTAACAAATCTGTTATGTTTGGAAGAGTATAACGATCTCCCAATGTTTTTTCATTCAATTTTCTATAGTCTATGACTATGCTCCATTTTTGATTTCCCGATGCTTCTAATTTTTTTGGAACAATCCATATAGGTGAGAACCACGCTGAATGGCTCTCTCTAATAATTTTTTGATCAAGCATTGATTGTATTTGTCTTTGTACCTCTTTTCGGTGGATTTCAGGATATCTGTATGATTTAGTGTAAATGGGTATTTCATCGCTTGTATGTATATGATGCTTCATTTTGCTCGTAAAAGTTAAGTAATTACCATCTATGTGAAATATGTCTGAATACTCTCTTACTAACTTAGTGATTGCCTCTTTTTCTTCAGAGTTCATATGCTCTGTCCTAATTTTGGAAATATCAAATTTATATTTTTGAAAGTTCAAAGAATTAATATTCGGTGGATCAGAATTTTCTGAAAATTCGTAATTTTCAAAATTTTCTACATCTATTGGTCTAGATATGTCAAGAGAAATCTGTTCTTCAGATAAATTTAATACTATGCAAATCGCTTCGTGATTTTTCACTGTAGTAAGACATTCAGGGATTTCTAAACATGATAATTTTCTGTATGGATTATTAGCATTACCATTGTTTAAATTTTTTATATTAACTTTAATTATCTGTTCTGTTCTAGGTGGAACAGTGATAACATTAGAAGAATTTTTTGTAATCTCGTGATATTGCATGGGTATCCTTGTTGTGGGTGTGACTAAAAGATCATTGCTCAAATCAATGTTGGCATTCAATATCTCTTTCAGGTTATCGAGTCCTAAAAGGCATTGGAAATGTTCGTGAAACTTGAATAAATGAAATTTCATGAGAACATTTGGATTCTTAAAAATATTTGGACAAGGTATTGTCATACTATATTGTTTGATAGATGAACCATGTGCTGAAGTGATTTGAAATGAGTCTTTTTGAATATGTCTTGAAAATAATTTTTTCGCAATTCCAGGGTGTATGAAAGATTTTGTACTTCCAGTGTCAGCAATACTTTGAGATTATACTCCGGAAATACAATGTATGGTAGTTTGCTACATTTGTCGGTTAAACTCATAATTTCAATTGACTTTGGTGGTCCGTTGAGACTTGTGGTTGTCTCTGTACCGAGGCTTCTTGCCCTAAAAAATCGTCAGAATTATTCTGAGAATAAGCGCATTCATAATTGTGAAAATCCGTTCTATTCTATGGCGAACTAATTGCATATTATTTCGATTGACATTTTTATGTTTATCTACCTTATGATCAAGCTGAAAGTCGTTAGTTAATATATTCAGAGCTTCATTCAAGTCTGTAGGATTTTTCGTCCTCATGAGCGATCCTAGAGGTTCCTTTAAACCTTTTAGAAATACTCTTAATGCTACGCTTTTGCAAAAATTACATATTATCTGAGCTTCTTCACTCACACAATGTGTAGTTAAAAATGATATTTGTAAATTCAATAAACTCTGAACTTTGTTATAAAATTCAAAGGGGGTTTCATTGTTCTGTTTCAATTCACACATTTCTATATTTAGAGTAAATACGTCACGCTTGTCTTGATATGTATTTAAAAGTGCAGTTTTCAAGTCTGTCCAATTTTTTATAATATTGCTACTAATATTTAAAGCTGCATTACCTTTGATTTTCGCTAAAATACTACTCATAAGATATTCGTTCTGGAAGTCATTTTCATTCTCTAATCTATAAAATTTATTCACTAACTTTTCACAAATATCTATGAATCTTGGTAATAATTCTTGTTGACCATAAAATTTGGCTTTCATGTTAAGATACTCTGGGCGTAATGACATGCTTGATTGATTTACTTAACTTGTTGTTCATATTGACTGTACTATTTAGTATACTAGGTCTTAATTGCAAATTCCTTAAACTATGTTGGATATGTTCCGTATCCGACTGTGAGTCCGTATCAGTGTCACTCAATGTACTCGTATCATCAACAGCTCTTGATTGTTTTCACCCCTGTAAGACATTCGTACTTACAGTAGTAATCCAATCCATCCCATGTGTCCGTATGCTGGGTTGCCTGTCCTGGAGCAGATGTTCCTTCTGTCCTCTGGGCTGCTGTCTTCTTGGTTTCTCGATTTGGGTAGGGTTCTACCCCAAATCTGGTTCTGGTGATCACGGTAACGATATCGATATTCCGTCGGATCGTTCGCGACCAATCGCGGTTGGTTTCGTTATAGCCAGCAAACCGTTGAAACGAACCGAAAATGCCCTTTTTAGTCTGGCTATCCTACTGCTTGCTGCGCCACTCAAATATCTTTCTTCGACGAAAACGTTTTTAAAAAAGATTGATTTTTGAGAAAAACCAAATACAACGATGTTAATTGAATAAGTTCTGAATCGAGACTGACTGCAAAGTGAATTATACAAACCAAAGTAAAGAACAAATGAAATACAATACTGAAACTGATAAGAAAGGAACGTGGAGGCAAAAGTCCTTGTTCAGCATCTTCTTCTCTATAGACTGGTACATAACTTGTATATACGAGTATATACTGGTTTCCTAATATCTATTGACCATATTTATAGTTTCTTTTTTCTCTACTTGAAGCGCCTTACTCTTTTCTGTGTGTGTGTTTTTTTTTGTTTCACTTTATGACACACAGAAAGAAAGTAACTTTACTTGAGCGGACGATGAAGACATTGCTAAACCTAGTAAGGGCAATAATGGACAGAAAATGTTACTAACGATGCAGAAATAAGATGTTTTTTGAAGGGCTTTCACAGGCTGAGACCATCTCAACTGAAATATAGATACTGTGGTTGTTCTCAACCAACCAAGGGGGTTGCTGGTAAGCTCTGTAGATATTCGGATGAGGAACTCGGAAACACTGTAAGCTCTAACCTCAGGTCAGAGTGTGCAAATTGAAACAGACAACATCCGGATTGGGTTAAATAATATTGAAATTAGGATTTCTCAGTTTTTGAACGTCTCGCAGTCACTCATGTGGCAACCACTTTTAGTATTACCGTATTTTACGCCCAAATATATCTGCAGTCAAAGTATTTATTTGTCACTGTACAGTAACTTTATCATGGTGCCTCTGCTCCCAGAGGGATGAAGTCGGTTTTAGCAGAGAGTGTCACAATTGACAGCCTACAGTACATGAAATGCATCTAACTTTCCGCCTGCTAAATTATAGTAGTCTCAGGCTCGCGGCCGGCTGGAGTACGTTTTCTGAGATACGTCACAAATCTCTTATGCCAAACAACGGCTTTACTCAAGCAGCATTTGAGTTAAACCAAGTCTTCACACCTTAAACATAACTGTTTTATTACGTTATTTGCTTATTACGATGTATTGGATGGTAATTTTTGAACCAGGTACGTAATATTACCTGTTACTAAAAGCCCTAACTTGAGTTGTTACAATGGAAATGTATATTCAGTTGACACACACATTGCGTACAATTTGTCTAGTTGTGTACAACCTATCGTTTACCATTGCAGAGGGTTAGTAGTATGTTGTTGCAACTAGCTTTGAACATCTAAACATCTCGATATTATTTGCTTCGACGAGGACGGAACATAATTACATGATCAAACGAACTTACCCTATGTATCACCCAATTGTTGCAACAACTTGGCTTTGAAGAAAATGAATGTTTATAGGCGGCCAGAGGGGAGGAAGAGGGGTTTGGTACAACTACGAGGGTTCTACGATATGTATTCTAAATACTTACTTCGACGAGGACTTCACATAATTAAGATCGAACATCACTTACAGGCAAGTTCTTTTGATCCTGTAATTATAAATACAATGCCTACAGTTTGGTAAGAAAGCATTTAATGAATCCTGTTTTGTGGATACTTACAATGAGATATTTGAATGTATTTTCTGCCTAAGAATATTGCTACTATTTTCTGAATCTGAAACCCTGTATGTAAACTTACGAAAATATCTCCACCATTCCAAAATACATCGTGTGTTCAAAATGTATGTAAGCCACAGCTAGAAAATGCTGTCCGTTGTGAGATACAGATGACACACTTATAGGATCGCCTCTGTAGATTAATTGATATACATTGAAAAGTTGATCGCTCATTTTCCAAACAACTGTACGTGATTCATTGGAAGCTTCTCTATCTGGACTTCCAATAGTTATCAGATAGCTGCAGTGGTCTATATTCAAAAATGATGCCTAGAATTGAAAATGCATCTGTCACTAGTGCATCAGTAATGACGGTGCTTAATATTTCTAAGTATTTCGCAGTCTTTCAAACAGTGTTTTTTTATGTAATGTTGAATATTTTTATCCGCTTACTGTATTTTCTTGAGGTCATCAACACAGTTGTGCGAATAGAAACGTCTCCTGTGAGGCCATGTTTTCAAAAGTGTTTTTTAAAAATTTTTCCCCACCCAACCTCAGGGTTCAACGAAAAGAGACCAACCGAATTCAATGCAAATCTAGAAGGATAGTGTGTGAGTATACAAGCGTGCTAGAATAACACTTATATACCTCTCATCCATTCAGGAACTGTTCTACGGGGTCCTCTACTGGCTGAATAAAATCGGTTTCTCCTAAATAACTTTTGATTTTTGAATTTAGAAGACGGTGTGCATGGAAAACAGTTGGCTTCATTAAGAGCACCAGGGGCGGACCAGTCCTGAAGCGTTAATAGTGAATGTGGTACATAATGGCTCAACAATGACATTTTTCAAGAGCCTGATCTTTAATCTAAAATAATGTACTCTGGTATGATATTGACAATATAGGGCTGTCTCAAGCTATGTAGGGGTACCTGAGCATACAGGAAGCTGCAGCTGAAGGGGTCCTAAGTCAGAGCGAAAGCCAGGGCTCTATTTTAGAGAATTGAAGAGCGGAGGCTGGGAGTACTCATAAATTTATATTTTTGAGCATTTGGGGGTCTCCAGGCTACAGTAGTATGGTATCCTGAGTACCAGTCCTATAAACATGATTTAGATCGTATCCAGCATAATTTTTTACGTCTTGCGGCACTAATGATGAACTTAAACATGACTGAATATTATATGACATGTTAGAAAATTTACATTTACCTACATTGGAGCATAAGCGATTGGTATTTGATAGTTATTCCGGTTTCAAGATTGTATTGGGGCTCATCGATTGCGAAGCTTTGTTAGCATTGATATTGAAATTTTAATGTACCCTGCAGAACAATGCGTAATAGTAATCTGTTTGCGAAGTTCCATTCGACAAATTATGGTCAGCACTCTCCACTCGATATCATTGTCACACATGAATTAAATATCACAGAACGTCAATCTGCCATTCCCAACAATGTATTTCTGGGAGTCCCAATCGGTTATTTACAGGGGAACAACTCAGTTCAGCTCGCAGCCAGGCAACATTACATTTGTTCTAACCTTGAGTGTTGGTATCGTACCAGAACCATCCGTTTATCATTTAGTACGCTTTTATACGCATGCGCCGACTGGGCATGATTCCAGTATTGTTTTTGGGCTGGAAGGTGGTTGGACCGATTTTAGAATCGTTTTCGTAACAAGGAACAGATATGCTCTTCACTATTCATCGCAATTAAAGCTGGAGAATATCAATAAATTACCTTTAAATAGTAAATACATAGGCTATCAGAGCACGCTTGCAGTTTGGTTGGAGGTAAGAGGCAATCACCTGATAATAGTTGTACTGCTCAGGTCAGTTCCTTTGATTCCCCGTTTAATGCAGGTACCGAGTTCACTGTAAGAAAACCGTTCGAGAACGATCCCAACATTAGTTGGAACGAAATGCAGAGCTGTCCCGTTACGATTCATAATATGTTGGAACAGCTTTTCCTCAATGCGCATGCAGGTCACCGTTATAGAACGGTTTTTTGACAGAATAAAACTATTATATGATACATTTGTATGGAAGACTATATTTGACAGTCCCTGATAGCTGATAGTCAGACATTCCTTGTTGGAAATAACCATATATAAACTTAATATTTTGCTGACAAACTACTATAAGATCACTTGTTTTAATCTCAGCAACATTTATGAGATAGAGTGTCAGGGGCGTAGCATAGAGATCAACCCTCATGATATCTATAGAATTTGCATCCGTTAACTATGATAACAAGTTCATGGTCTTCGCGATTACGGAGTATTTCCATTATCCAAGAATTTATCGGTACGATCATTCTAAAGACAAATTCACTAGCATCGAGGCATACCTACTCACCATATATACCTTTTCATCTTCTATGTTCTGCCGCGGATAAAATTGTCCATAAATCTGCGAACATAGTATATGGGTTGCATAACTATAATCAATGAAAAGCAGACAGCTTTCTTGTGTTTCTTCCAAAACAAATGAATTTAAGAAGCTGGTTCCTCTAGTAAATAATGGCGTGCTGTGAAACTGTGTTGCGTTTTCAAAATGGAGTAACTGACCGTTGTGTGTGTAATCTGAAAACAAACATAGGTGCACGTCTGGTGTGTCAATTTTACATGGCATTGGATGTTGGGGGTTAGTGCATAAAAATTACAGGCGGTGCGTGGATATTTTGTACGTACTATACATAGTGCATGCAACGTTGTGTATAACAGTGCACAGTCCAATATGAGTCTGAAGCTTAGTTCAAACTGGTAGAATGTTCCAATCATTTTGGATTTTTATTTGGAATTTTTATATAAGACTAGCTGTTACCTGCGACTTC